TGTGGTTGTAGAGGAAACCACTGGGAACCTCTGGGACTTTTAAAAACGTTTTTCATGGGTTAATGCACAAACCCATGAGAATTTATGACAATGTGTTTTGAATCAAAATAATTCTGGTGCTGAATGTGGCACAGATATATTTTTATATGCAAAAAAGTACTCTTTTCTTTTTTTTTGTCTATGAAGTATAACTGCTTGACACTTCAACTATGAGAAACTAATTGAAGCATTAATGTGCTGTGTAAAACTTTTATTCACAGATGGGAATCTGTACACATTTACATGTGGAAAATTGAAGTACAATTTTATATGTTTTTTTTTCTGGCTTTATAATGGTAATACATTAAAGGATTTTAGCTTGATAATATACTTAATCTGTGTACAAGCATTCTACGATTCTTTACATGGATGCAAATTGATACAGAAATATAATTTTCAAGTCTGATGTTCACACTGAATTACATAAATAATTAATTAGTCTTGCTGCAGCTAAAGTTTCATTCTTTTTGTAAGGTATCAGCGAATGGGTTTTTTTCCACTCCAGAAGGATGTTGTCAGATACTGTTTCCATAGAGAACTCTACAGTTTGCATACGGTGCCTTTTTTAACTAATTAGTATCCAGGAAGTACTTGAGAAAAAACCAAAAGTATTGTGTTTTCAAGTTACTTTTAGGTTGTGGTTAACTTCCTTAAGCATATATTTTGATGGATCGCAGCAGCTTTGATTGCTGAACAATATAAACATAAGTTAAAAAAAAAAAATTAAACCTACAGTTTTAAAAGATCAAATGTGAAACACTTGAAAGTGCATTTTTCTCTGAAGATGCTGCACAGTTAATCTATCCTATTAAAAGAAAACACTCACTGTCCTTTATTGTGAATCACAGAATGATTGGAATTCAGTTCAATCTTCTGCTCAGAGGAGTGTTGACACTGAATTCAGGCAGAGTTGCTTAGGACAGCCTGCTCCAATAATGAAGCAATTATCCTCATAGATAAATTTCTGTGGTCCCATTATCTTTATCTGTCTAGTGTTCCTCCTCTTCTTCTGCCTTCTCTTCACTTTCCAACTTGTTCTGTGGACTCCATCCCAATGTTATACCTTCTTCATAACTCATACTTCCCATTTCCTCACTGGACATCTTTAACCTGTGCCTAATTGCCACCTTCCAATACATTCTCACTTCTCTTGGTCGCTGTGTCCTGGTGAATCACAGTTTCTTCTGCCTGCCTTTTCTGCCGCTGCCTCTGATAGGCGTTAGAACTGGAAGTTATTGAAGAATGAAAATTTTCTGCTCTTGGCCCAGTCTCTAGTCTCATTTGGGTCAGGATCAATAATTCAAAGAAAAGTGGATGTTGTTCCAATAGCCCCAGACATTCTCAGCTCTCCATATGCAGTCTTGGGAGAGGAGGGAGTATGCCTACTGCCAGCAGAACCTTGGGACATGTCATCTGTTAAACTTAGAGATCAAAAATGAATATACGCAAACTGAGGCTTTTGTCAAATCTCAGAGCTTGCCCATATTTAGGAAGATTCCATGAAATGGTAAATGGATACCTGAGAAATTATAAATGAACACCTGACACATGCCAAATTTTCCTTGCTCTAAATCGGGGAACACTAGGGCTTTTTAAAAAAATAAATTAGTCACTGCTATAGCGGTAGGTTTTTTTTCTTCAGCTCATTCTTGGTCACAGCTTAACTCGTTTTTGTTTGGTTTTAAGTTTAAAAAAAAAAAACCAAACCTTCAGCGTGAGGCAGAGTTGCCATAAACTTCAGCTGTAACAAGTGATTTGAACTAAATTATGAGCAACTCCAAACAGACTTCTGAAGGGAATATCAGGTAGTCTTAGTAGAACGTGCAACCAAGGTCTTTTGTGAACAAAGGTGGGGGTTTTTTTTTCCTATTTGTTCATGATAATGAAAATATTTTTAAAAAAGTTTTAGCTTCCTTTCCTCTCTGATCCAGAATATAATTCCACTTTTCTCACCTTATTGCTCTGCTTGATGCAGCAGGATGTCTCATTCTGAAGGACTGATGGGGAACTCTGTAACCCCGTGGGTCTTTGTATTTCTGTTGTACTGTCTGAAATTGAAAATACGACATGCCTGCTCCTCCCTGTTGCACTGTTTGTTTTATTCTGGCCCTATTAAGCAGTTATACTGTGTTCTTACATTTCTTGTTCTTTCTTGGACTTCAGTGGGTTGGAAGGTGAAGGTCAGATTTTGAAGGTTTCCAATTATTTCTAGCTTTGCCTTCAGTTCTTCAGAAGGCAGTGTTCCCAACTTAAGTCAGTTGAGGGTTGCTCATGTTCTTCCTAACTTCTCTGGTATGATGTAATAAAAAAAGAAAAAATTTTACGCAAGTTTGGTATTGACTAAATAGAGGTTCTAGTCTAATTGGGGGTTCTGTTTCATCCTTTTGGGACTTCTTTGGCTGCAATTCTGGTATTTGTTTAGTAATTTTGTCAGGATGGGTGGTTGAATGTTATTGGCAGGTTTGTTTTTGTGTGAGTATTTTCAGGGTTCTAGGCACAATGTTACTTGATCTCTTCTGGTCAGAGGTAAAATGTCAAACAAAAATAATTTGCACAGTTTCAGATAGGTCTGGATGTCCAGCTCAAAATAGAAGTGCAAATCTGACCAGTTCCTTTTAGATGGTGGAAGGTGTGTTTCTTTTGATTTTTCTTTTCCTGTTTTTAAAACACACCTGTATAATTATTTAACACAGCTGTTCCCTGTCATCCTGCAAAACAAAGTGAGGAGGTTGTGGAACTGTGTGTGCTTCTCAGTCAGCACTTTTACATAGATGTATGAGCCCAGATTTACAAAGGGCATATGTAGACTCAGGGAATAATTTAATTTGGAAGGCTCCTGGGAAAGTAATTCGCAGTTCAGCCCCCTGGTCAAAGCAGGGCTTACATTAAAGCTGGATTCTGTAACTGATCTAGGCAATCTGTACCGGTGATTAACCCCTCTTATTCTGGAATTTTTTCCCTTCATCTCCAACAAGGAATTTTCCTTGTTGCTACTTCAGGCTGTTGCCTCTTGTCCTTTTGTATTGCATCTGTGAGAATGCAGAGTATGTTGCCAATTTTCCTTTAATCCCACTCCTTTTTACATAGTAAAAGATGTTGCCACACAGCCTTATACTCCTAAAGTGAAGTGCTGAGATCTTGGCAAACAGAATTCATAAATCTAATAAATAGAAAAAATTCAACCCCCAGGAATGGGATTTATGGTAGTGAGTAGAGGGACACTTAGAATCTAGTAAAAACAGCAGGAAGAAAGGGATATGTTAAATCCTAGCTTTCATCCAGATGAATGCAGCCATGTTCAATCCTGAAAGATGCACCTCTGTGTGTTGAGGCCACAAAAACCACTTTGAGTGTTAAGGTCTCAAGTGTCAAGGTCTCAAGGTGAAACCTCAAGGTTTCACTATCCCTCTTTAGAATGCAGGTTTGAGACATAACTGATATAAGAGGCTATAATGTTTATTAATTGATCAGCACACTACTAATAAACCAATTAACAGATTGATTAACTAATAAACATACCACTAGGAATCACTTACAGTTCTGTAATGCTTTACACCATTGTTAATTGCATTCAATTATTGAGTTCTGTCACTTTATTCTTATAAATTGCACCCAAATATTACTGAATTATAGTTCTATAACCCTTCACTTCAACCTCCCACACTGCTTATTAACAAATTTGCAATTCTGTCACTCTTTAACTTCTCACATCAAGTCTTTCAGATGTAGACCCAGTAGAGAGTCCAGTGGGTTGCGCAAGGGGCTTCCCCTGACATCCTGGCAGCCTTGATTAATGAAGCAGGTCAGCTTCATTATAGTCTGTGGGCATCTGCATTCCTTCTGTCAAAAGATCTGCCGTCTCTTGTTCTTGAACTGCTTTTATAACTTGTTCATTATTTCTTAAGTTTCTAGACCCTCTTTTGTGCCACCCTTCTATATCACTTTCTCTGCCCAATCTCCTTTCAAATAAAAAAGCTGCCCTTTAATTACTCTTTCACAGTTGGTCCAATTTGCTACATCCATTCCCAGATTTCTTATTTCTAAACCCATGTCCTAGGTAATCTTGGCCTTAAATGGTATTACTAATGTTACTTAGGTACTGATGGACTTGCAAGATTCTACCCCTGCAAAATATGCCCAATACTCCCTTTCAGTTACCTGCTTAATAGCAATTACATATTCTTTATTTTATACACTTTCTAAGACATGTCTACTTCAGCCTTTTTTCCTTTACATGGTTTTGATTAAGTATGCTTTATCTCTATTCCCCTCAGCTTTTTCTTAGTGTATATGCAAGTGGCACACGTACCAGGGCAAGGAACATACCGTTATGTGCTTTTTCTCATTCTGTTTTTTGCTGACACAGTATACTACTTGTCAGGGAGCAGTGAGGGCCAGCTGGTCCCTAAGGGAAGAGGAGCCAGGAACTGAGCATAACAAGGCTGACAGAGGCAATGGCCTCACCGGCAAGGGCTCAGTCCCTCCCCAGCAGCACTGTCTCAGAGTTGGCCCTGAGTCCAGGTAGCCAAACCTCCAGCCCCTTCCAGGAAAGGGGGATGCTCTTAGGTCTCTTCCAGTACTCTCTCTCTCAAGTGTTCCGTCAAAAGTCATCAGCCTTGGCATCTGCTGATAATCTCCCCGTTTTCTGCAGACACCCTGTCTTGTTATGCGGTCCAGTACTCCAGCAGAACCTCTTGCTCACAATGTCAGTCCTTCCGTAGATTTGGACCGGATACTTTTCTATTCCAAACGATGACTGGAAGAGAAAAAAACTAATGAAATTTAACAGCATTAAAAATTAACTCAAATTTAAATGGTGTTTTTTCAGCTATATCTTGCATATATATTTGGAGCTTTAGTAGTTATTTATTAATGATCAATTCTGATAATATTATAACTTTTACGAATCAAACTTTTACAAGACTTATTAAAATGTGTTTCTTTCTGTTTCTTTTAGTATCTCCTGAAGCAATTGGATTCCTGTCTGCTGTCGGGGTGTTCATTATTCTCATGTTGCTACTTTTCCTATATATTAATAAGAAGATGTGTTTTGAAAATGTTAGTGGTTTCCCAGATCTCGATTCAGGATACACTACAAGAAAGAATTCACAAGATAAACTTTGTAAGTATCTGAAATACAGTGTACTAAACTTAATTATAAGAGTGCACATTTTTTTATAAGGATGTGTAGAAATACACAAATAATCACTTAACTCAAGTGATGAAAACACACGTTAACTTTTCCCATGACTGCGCAGTATGTGGAAATGAAGAAACATTTGTATTCACAAGCCACAGAAATTCAAGAGCTATATAACCAAAGAGTTGACATTTACTTATGGGAAGATATTTCTCTTGCACTATGAGAATACTCTTGAAAGTATTTTAAACGTTCCATAATTGTGTGTAATTAAATCTTCTCAAGTAAATTTGTGAATGGGATTACTGGGTTTTCACTCAGCTTATTAAAATCTTTCACCGACCTTTTGGAGAAGGTCTTGCATTTACTCAGCTGTAAAATAATTTTAAAGAAGTAAAACATTAGAAACTAAAGACATCTTATCTCTGACTAACAAATTAATTCTGTAATTTTTTAATAGAACAAGGTCTTTAAGGATAATGTGAAATGAAAAAAATTAGATGTCGAAAAAGATACTGAGGGTTGGTAAAATAACCCCTTTCTACTGTTGGGCTGTGGAAATTGAATGGGCTTTGTTAGCTGACTTGAGAGGAAGAGACAGAAGAGAAGGGGAAATTTGAGAGGTTTTCTAACCTTCTACCTCTCTAAAAGGTGCAGCTAAATTTTTATTTTCAATTTTCTTGGAGACAGAAAAAGTTCTCCCCCCTGGAAATTAAGTCCGTCATCTTAACTTTTTTTTGCTACAAAACAAGTCTTCCTGTTCCGAAATATCTTGCCTTATGTAAAAGACAACAAATATTTTGGGGTGAGGTCATCTCCATGATGCGTGTTTTTGTGCAGCTATTATGTTAAAAGCTTGCTTTAGCATGATATTGATGAAAGGATGTAATTTAAATATCTTACAACTTCTTCTTTGCAGGTTAGAATAAAAAAACCCATATTTCCACCTCACAGTTGTCTTATTTTTGAAAATAATTTTATTATGACTAGTTGATGCTGCAGTTGATGAAAGACTGTGGTTTTGCTGGTTGATTGTGGCTTCATTTCAAGAGTTTTACTTAGTTGCTTTCTTATTATTTTCAATGCATATTGAATGGAAGGAGCACAGCTGCAACTTCCCCTGGTAAATGTATTGAGTTTGAGATAGCAAAAGCAAGTAGCTCTGAAATTGAACTTGGAGAAATGGAGTTGATCTGTTTGTGAAACAGAGGACCTTTCTGTATTAAAAGTTGTTGCTGAATAGATTGGACGAATGGCGTTTTTCAGAAACCTCCACCAAAATCTGAGCTTTCCCTCTGTGTCTTCTCTGGTTGGCACGCTTAGCAGTGCTGTGGATGATCTGACCAGTGTTGTTGGAGAAGTTGGGTACAGTGTAGCTGATTCAGTAGCAGAACAAGTAACAAGCATGATAAGTGGCCTTCGTGCAGAAGATGAAAGCTCCAAAATACAGAATGAAAAACCTGTGCAAGGGAGAGAGGAACATACACCATCATTAACTCATTCTCAGGAAATTAATATGAAAGCAAAGAGATGTATTGCAGAACATAGAGAGACTCATTATTCTAATTCATTAGATTTTGTAAAAAAAGATACAAGTCAAGATGGAATATCTGACCATGTTGTGGACAAAAAACAGTGCCAGTTAAAAGGCAGAGACAGTGATAATCATTTAAGTGATACAGAAGTACCTCAGGATTTGAAGAATGTAGGAGGACCTTTTAAAAGGGAAGCAGTAGGAGGAAAAAAGTGTTTTGTAAATGATAAATTCTTGAAGGATAGTAACCTGAAAAGTAATAAATTTACAATGGAGCAATCTGTTGAGGAACAAGATAACCACCTACGTGCAGTATCAGATAATTCTAAGAATCACTTGCATAGAAAAATCAAACCACAGTCACTTGGAGTTGATTTTAAGGATTCTGAAGAAGTGCACAGTATGAAGGTTCCCCAGGATTTAGAAATAAAACTTGTTGAAGTACAGAAGCAAAAATTATCAGACTCCAGCTTGAAGAAGACACAGAATGATGGTCCCAGTTACATTAATGAAATCAAAGAAAAGAAATCTGAAGCCTTTTTTGGCAGAAAAGGAAAATCTGCATCAAAGGATGAGGACAATGTGTCAACTACAATTGCAAAAGTGGGTGAAAAGAAAAACTCAAAGATATCAGAAAAGAATTCAAGAGAGCTATGTAATAAGAAGGCAGCAGGAAAAGGTGAGGAGTCCATCAGCAAACTTCAACCTTTCCTGAAACTTATGATACTTCTTACTTTTTTCACCTAATTTACATGTTTAGTAATAGTGTTTCCTGTGGATGAAAGTAGGTCTGTGTTGTCAGGGCTTCATTCTCTAATTATGTTGATATTTCTTGGTAGCTAATTCCTTTTTAAATTGATTTTTAAACGGATTAAACTGATTAATAAATGCCTTTCCTATGTTCTAACTTTTCTTTTTCTATACACAGTTTTTCTTACCTTCTCTGCAGTGCCTTGTGTGGTTTCTGTTGAAAACTATGAATTAATTAATACTGGAAATTAACACTTGTTCTTTGAAAGTGGTTTTTATTTTGTGTATTTGAAAAGCATTGCATAAAATGTGATAAGATGATAAAGAAAAAATAACTTATCTTACATTTACATTGTAGTAGATCAGAATGTATTTCTGGGATATGTAAGATAGTAATTTCAAGACACTAAACTCAATGACAAGTGGCAAGTAAGTGATTTTAAGTATAGAAAGAACTGAATGATGCTTGTCTTAAAGTTGTAGTTGTACAAAGAAAACCTATGTATTGTTGATATGGATCCAGTCAAACAATATGACAAAGGGATTGCAATAATAGTTTGTGAGTAAGAAGTAAAACCTTGCATTTTTACAGAATTGCTTTGCAGGCTGTGTAGTGAATTTTTAGAAAGCAACACAGGCTTTTCTCAAGATGCTGTTTCTGTAGAGAAATGAATGATTTCATAATAGAAATCAGTTGTGGTTTTTTTTTTTTTTTTTCAGTGTGTGTGTTTTCCCTTATCTGGAAATTTTGGATCATTTTGTTTGGTTTTGGTTGGGTTTTTTTTATTTGATTTAGCAGGTGGTTTCCATGTTTGTAGGGTGAACTGTGATCTCTGTTATTTCTTCATGTAACACAATATTTGTACAGTCTATTCTCTATCAAAAATGGCATTTTAGCTCCCGTAACAAGCAAATTAATAGCTTTCAATATGACCTGTGTTAGCCAAATAAAGGAAGGGTTTTAATAACAACATGAATTCTCTTAGGCAAGTTTCCAAGTAACATATAAAAATCAAAAGAGAATTGGCAAGGAGAGGCAAAAAAAAACCCTGAGGATTTTTTTTTAATGTGCAGGAAGCTATGTTTTCCCAAGAAACTGAAACAGATTTGTATTGTTCATTTAAAAAATGTTTGCATCGATAGCTTGTGTTTTAACTTTAATGAGGTTTTTAAGTCCTCTGAAGAAGTCTTGTTTCATGACTTGTAATAATAGTATACATCCTCATTCTTTTTCTTTTATGCTAAGAACTGTAGAAAAAGTATCTGGTATCACTGAGAACTTCTGGGTGCTTACAAACGTCAGTGTATGATTAGAGGCATAACTTTCAGCACTTCTTTCAAAGATGTTGCTACCATGTTTTATACTATTCCATTCTTTATGCAGAATGATCAATGAATGCCACTTCATATTTGCGAATACATTTCTTGTAATGATAAATGATGCATCTAATACTGAAGTCTAACACTATATGTTAGTCCTAGTATGCCCTGCTTTAATTATAGTTGTGAAAGTCTGTAGAAGTTTCCTAGGTGGCAGGTTACAACCTGTTGAGGGCCATGTGTGATCAAAATTTTACTCTGTGTACCAGCAAAGGAGGCTTCTTTTTCTGGGCAGCCTCTTGCAGTGAATCTGCTAGCCAGAATATGTCTTGCTTGCTGTGATATTCTCAATAAGTGATCAGTGAAATTGAAATTGCTTTATAGCCATCCATACAATGGGATAAACCATATCTGCCAGACAAATTAAAATTGGTAGCCCAGAGTTGAAAGATCTAGTTGCTCATTAGCAGTCTTTCAAGGCACCAATTCTCCTGTAAATACTAAATTAAGATTACATACACATTGCATGTAGAGCTGGTAGCACCATCTGCAGTTAAGGTTTCCTGACATTTTCCATTTCAAGACCTTATTTTCAGCTGCTTATAACTGTGTGCCAAATTTGAAATATTTGGGATGAAATTTGGCATGCTTTCTGTCTGAGATTTTTTTTTTTAAGCTATAGTTTAAAATCTTTAGCTGTTTCCAGGAATACAGTATGGGAAAAATGTGCTGGTTATCTGTGCAAAAAATAAGTAGATTTCACGTCTGCTTCACTAAGATGCTTTGTCACCTTTGTATATTAGAGTATGTACTTGAGATGTGGGAGAGCACTTTTCCCACGTCAGAGATGCCCATGTTCTTCTACGAAAAAAGACATAAGTTTGACCAAATTGCAAATCTTTGGAAACTTTGTCTTTGGAAAATGCATAGTAAACACTTCTTATCATTTCTTCTTATAATTTACCTGTTAAATTCACTGACCATCCCATTTGCACTCATATGCTTCATCATAGGGGTTGAAGAACAGAGCAGGTCTTATCCTGCTTTTGATACGTATGGTTACTGAAGGATGCTGGAAGTTTGAACAGAAGAATTGAGAATAAACATGACTTGCATGAGGACAGAAACTTCCTGAACAAATGCGAAATGATGCAAGTAGTAGACTGGGATTTGAAGTGGGGTGGGTAACAGTATGGAGAGAACTGATAATATTGTATGAAGTTGGAGAGACTAAGGGTAAAAGAATACGGTTACATGAGTAGTTGGTTAGATGCAAGGAAAGAGACTTTGGGATTGAATAGCCAAAGAGAATAAAGAGGAAATCCCCATAAGAGACCACAACTGGGTGCTTGGAGCAGAAACCTGGAGTATGGGGCCTGGAGACAGGAACTTAGGATAAGGTTCTACTCGTATAAATGTAACTTTGCAAAAGATGTCTAACCTAAACTTGCAGCATAGACTTTTCTGTATGAGTACCAGGGAGTTACTTCTGTGGGAAGTGATTTTACTCATCTACTCTAGAGGCTTACCTAAAAGTGGGACGGAAGGACTTGTCTAGTAGGAAGAGGCAAACACTCGACTGTAAAAGAGGCCTAGATGGCTGGCATAGGTTGAGCTACTTCAATTTTAAATGGCTGAGTTTTGGGTAAGCTGGATCCCTACTTTAGTCGGAATACCCAGACAGAGGAGTGAGACTGGCTGGGCATGAAGGCAGAGACTAATGGGAATGGAAATGCAGAGCTACAGCTAGGACAGGGACTGGGGCGAGGGCATAAAAGCAGGGAGGGGAGAAGCAGTTGAGCATGGCTGGATAGCATGTTCGACAATATTCCCTTGTAGAATCAGGAGCTGAAAAACAGCATTATGGACATCTCGGAGCTCTGCAAGTAATGGAAATCCATTGGCAAATCATATATGATAGGCTTGCTCACAGAGTAGTGGTAATGCTGACCTTTACTGAGTTTACATGAAGTCTTTTAATGCCTATTAGAGTTTGAGATCTACAGAACCTCTGCACAGCATGTTAAGTTTGGACAGAATCCATTTGAGGTTTGGAAAAGGGAGGGGGAAGCTTTCCTTTTGCAGAAATAAAAATGCAGCTGAATCTTTGACTTGTGGGAAGAAGTCATACTTGAGTTGTAGTTGGAAGAAGTTGGCCACAGGAGTGGGTATTATAGAGGAACTGGTATAAAAGAATTAACTAGATGGTTTCTTCTGTGCATTTTTTGCTGTTGCCAGATGTCTGCAATGAGAATCTGTGTTAATTTCTGTTATTGAACAAGGGGCTGTTTATTGCAAGTTAAATAAAATTGTGCATGCAAACATCTTTCGCTAGCATTTTCCCATTTGTTATTGAGAGTTTAAGCACTACTGACATAAATATCCTAAGACGATTTTGTTGTAGGCTTCTCTTTGTAAATCAGTTTCATTTCTACATTATACTGCATACTCACAGCAAAAATCAGCTGGGAATAGAGGATCAGGAGCTGCCTTTTTGATATGTTAGGTGTCCAAATGTAATATTGCAGCAGTGTTGGATTTACTTTACATAAATTATTTTGAGCATTTTCTTACTTAATGAAGGGTTTCAAGAACTTCAGTGTGTGCTGCCTTACAGAAATGGATCCATTTTCTGTTGAATAAGTTTTAGAATGTCTTTTGGGGACTTAATGATCTTTCAGTTTTTCGAGAAAATAAAAATAGCTGTCACCAATTACAAAATCACATAATACTTATAATTGCAAGAAGATGATATTTTTATACAGAAATTTTGATTGAAATAGCTTAAATATCTTCAATGATAGCCTCTTACGGTTACTTTCTTGTATTCTATTTTGAGCTGTAGTCGATTTGCTTTATTTTATTCAAACAGACAACTCTTATATGAGTAAAGACCAGCATGGTTCATCATCTGAGAGTGAAGATGAAGCACTGGGTAAATATCATGAGGCCTTGTCTAGAACCCAGAGTTCCAGGCTGCCAGTGGTGGATGGCAGACAGCAAAAAAACTATGTATGGGAAACCAGACAAAAATATAGTCCCCTGTCTGCAGAATATGATGGATACAGTAGTGAAGCCTCAATAGATGAAGGTAAGAGTGATTTAAAAGCATTCCTTTTATTTCACATTTCAGAATTATGTTCTGGATGAGTAAGTCGTAGATGAGGACAGCTTGACTTGCAAATAGTCAATGTCTACAAGAAATATCCAGATATCTTTTATATTTGTGCATGCTCAAAAAAAAAAGCCACAGACCTGTGCGCATTCTTCCAGAATTACTGCAAATTATATAGTACCTTGTTATATTAAGTTTCATACAATTTTATCATTAGTAATTTTATTTTGGGGGGAATTTAAACTGTTTTTATTTAGGAAGGAAACATGGCAACTGTTGATGAATTCTGCGGTATTAGAAATACAAAGATGACCTGTTACTCCTCTCATTGATAAGCTGTCATAACAGCAAAGTAAATGGAATTGGTTATTGGTTATGGTGCATATGGTCATTGCAGTGTGCATTACTTGAATGTTCTGTATCTTTTCTTCTTCTGAAATCACAGAAAGAAATTACTACAAATTTATATGATTGATATGTCTTTTCCACGGAGTTAAAAGTTGGATGTAAACAATGGATGTTTTTATTTGTGGTATATATTCCTTGATTTTACGTTAGGATGACAACCTGACATAGAGGCTGAGAATTCTGCTGTCAATATTTTGTCAATATGCTTTTTGTGCTTGGAAATAGCTGTATGTGAGAACTGTGTCTATAGCCATTTTCGAGCATGAAAAGTGGGCTTTGGTTGAAGTTACGTAAAAGTCAGATTCTAATATAGATGCTGTGCTATCGTAAGATATTTGTTGGTCTCCCTTAATATGTTAAAATGCAAAGGTTTTTTAGAGATTGATATTTTCTGATAAAAAGTGGATACATGTAATAAGATGTCTGTCCTTAAATGTTCTATACAGTCCAGAAATGCTTGAAAAAAATTAAATTTTCTACTGTATGATGTACTTCAATTATATAAAAGTCTGTTTGCAACTGAAATTTGAAATTAGTGCATGCTCATTCATGATTCCAAGTTAAGATGCAAACGACATGAAACCCGTAATTGAAGTAAGTTGCAGAGTAAGAGGATTATTTTCTGATCATCAGAAACTTTGGGTCTTTCCTTTCCTGTTAAGTTGTAGGGAGGCAAGGAGTCTGAGTTCCCAGAAATAGGGAAGTAGATGCAGAGGTGAGGTCAGGTGGTAAGAACTGATCCTTGGACACTGTGATGGAGAAGGACAACAAGGAAGAGGGGTAGTGAAAGTATCATATTTGTTTTTCATACCTACTGAGATCTAGCAACAGCATTGGTGGGGGGAATATGAAAGATGCTAGTTTTTTGTATGGCTCATGTCACTGTTCGGAAAGAGTGGTGATGTATATTAACAGGAGATGGAAGTCTCAATCATATTTATTAGCAAATAATACCAGATGCAAATTATACAAGACAACTACTTTCAGATACCAAGAATGATGTATTTTGTCTCTTGTCAAACTACTGAGGCTGCTTGTTGAAATAATCATAGAATAATTCATGTTGGAAGGAACACGTGACATTCCTCTCTCTATTTCACAGTTCAGATTTTTTTATCCTACCTAGTTAGCTTCTCAGTGAAAAGTTCTTAGTTCATCTGAGCTTTTTACTTTGGCTCTATAAGACTTAGGCTCCAAAGGCATTGTAGTAGCCTGTATCCAGGGTTTTTTTGTTTTTTAATAATTTTCTTCCTTATCATCCTCTCGGATCATAAAAATTTATAGTCCCTGGCTTTTATCCTCTTCTGGGGAATGAGAACTCCAGTCTGAAATCTGTATCATGGTTAGAATCTAAGACAAAAGAATCCTGTTGGCAAGTCCAAGTATTGCATCAGGAAAGTTACAATTGTTTTGTTCTCCTTTTTCATTTTTTCTTCCATTGCTAAAGATATCTGTCACCAGCTGCTATGCCTTCTCAATGCTCTTTCCATTCAGGAAGCTGGCTGGATGTAAAACCCATTCATATATATGCACACACGTACTCACTCTAAAATTACTATGCAAATTGGATTTATGATAATGAAAGAATATTCAGGGTTTGGAAAAAAATTTTGAGGCAAAAATTATCAAAACTTTCTCACTTAGAAAATTGCAAATTTTTAACCACATACTTCTAATTGCAAAAAAAGCTTTAATACTGTCAATATTTTGCTTTTGCTGCTGCTTGTGAGAGCATTCTCTTCCCACATTCTACAAGGAGTGGAGAATCAGCAATGTTATTTATTTGATAGCCTGCAATAATTCTACAGCTTTCTGCAAAATGCTTGCAAATTAGAGTGATGATTCTGATTTTTCTAATCCATTAATCTCAACAAAATTATGTTCAAGAGTATTAAAAAGTTTTGTGGTATTGGACATGGCAACAGATTAACAACCCTGTATTTTTCACTTTTCAGTGACCTGAAGGTGGCACACTGCAATAATTAGTGTTAGTACTTTTTATGTTCTTCCTAAGTTATTTCAAACGTAAAGAATCTTTGCACTATGATAAAAATGCGTTAAAATAGAGGAAGAGACAGATCATGCCTCATTATGTTATGATCATTACAGAGGGAAAGCTGCCCAACCTAGAACTTTGATGAAAAGAGAAGGTGGAAACCTCGTGAAGAAAGCCTGCAGTCAAAAATAAATGAAAGACTGGCTATCGCTACCAAACAGTTCATATGTGTTCAGAGAAAGAGTTCACTGAACAGAGGAGGTTAAAAATACCTGCTTCCAAGTGGAGAGTATCAACATTCTAAATGTTTCAGTGTTAATTTTTAAAAATTCAAAGCTTTACTGTTCCTTAAACTTGCAAAATAAATCTATAGAAGACTTGATGCCATAGAAATCCTGAATTTTTTCATTAAATAGTTGGTTTTTATGACCATTGAATTATTTTTATAAGTGTAAAGACAGATGATAGAACCATTTCTTGATTCTTTGTAGTGGAGGGGAAGCAGGCAGTGTGCTCCTATGTACTTTATTTAATATGAGAAACAATTGTCAATATATTTGACTTTGTGTGCTTCTGTTTCCTCATATGTACTTTATCATTTCTACTTCTAGGACTTAAAACATTTCAGCTGTACTTCCAGCTTAAGGCACCTCTCAGTCCATATGTTGAGCAGGGCTTGATAGTGTTACAGTGAAGTGATGAGAGGAGAGAATTCATTTTTGTCCCATCTCTGTTTCCCCCCTGCTCATTGCTAGTAAATCAGCCTCTGATGATATCATTAAAAATTCCATCAGAGGTAGAGTAATATGAGCAACAAAAATGGTACTTCATTTTCAGAAAATTGTGTCTTACTTTCTCTTCAGCAGTTAATCTCTGTCACATGTTGTATCTTGCAACAGTGTGCTGTGTGTTTTCAAAGGAGTCAATAAACAGTTTTGCTAAAAACTGTTTACTCTGCACTTTTATCTTCACTTTTTAAATGTGTTTAGATACATCTGCACTTAACAGTGCACACACAAAATTTCACGAGACAAATACAATCTTGTCTTTATTAATACATCTTGTAAGCTTTGCTTGCATTGCTAAAAACCTGTATAATATTAATATGTTTGCATTACAAAACTTCTGATCATACTATTCTAAGGTTCACGTATTATCAATTACATGATTAGTTTATTACATCTATTTTCTGGCTGCATGCCTCTAAAAATGTTGTATTCTGAAGCCTGAAAATTTGTGCAGCATGTTTTCACATCATTCTTTTCTCCTCTAGATGGCCATATTAATCTTTCTTTTCAGCATATTTATATAGAACTGACATGGCATTTTATATAATGTTTTTAATAGTTAGATGAAGAAAGCAATATATTTGGGGGGTTTTGTTGGTATATTTTGATGATGGAATATTCTGGTAGTACTTTAGTTCATTCTATGAAATTTAGGTTTTTAAGTTTTGGTTCACAAATACCTGCTTATGAGTACTTTATATATTTGTATAGCACATTTGATGCACTTAGATTTTGATGTGTTATATATTTTAAATGAAAAAAAAAAAAAAAAAAAAGTTGTGCTTAGATGTAGGTATTTCTACAGACTCCAAACTATTGCAAATATATAACTTTTGCAGTGAGCTCCTCATGGACAGGCTTAATTCCAGAGTATCTCTAAAGGAAAATCTAGTTCATTAGAAATTCAAGACGATGACAGATGTCATCATCAAAAGTAAAATGGTACAGAATGGCAAAGTAAATGGTATAGATGGCAAAGTAAAATGGTACAGAAGATAGGTTTACACCTAAAATTTCCAACTCTTGCACAAATGACTCAAAACTGTTAATCACAGAAAAGAGAAACCTGTATAACTACAGTACTTATTGATATCTGTGTGGACTTAACCCAGTCTCTGTGCTTAGGCCCAGAGTTCTAGGGTCAGCTCGAAGTTTGAAATCGTTTTTTGCCAGGAGTATTCTTTGTGTTCTTTCTCATGTTATCCAGTACAGTATGGCTACTTACTGAAGTGACCTTTTTTCCTTTTCCCTGATACATATCCTGATATAACTTCCTTTTTGTTTTTTATAATGTGTATCCTACTTCTTGTATTATTCCCTACCATTTCAAATGCTCTTATTATCCTGTTGAATATGTAGTATTGCCTTTATGTGCTCCTATTATTTGTTATATTTTGGAAGAGGGGATTAATATAGGCTGTGTTGTTACACATCTGTTTCAGAAAATAAAGAACAAAAATAAAGGGAAAAACCCACAAAAAAAGCACAGAAGTAACGCCCTAAGATATTTCTGCTAACAAGGAGATTATGAATTGTAATAGTGATCTAAATAAGGAAGTGTACAAACTTGAAATTTAAAATTGGCATTACTCTTTGTACTTTGGTAATTGGAATTATTTTTTAGTATCTGTATTGGTCATGATCTTAAATGGATCGTGCTATCTTAATAACTTCAATTTAAAAAACCCATACAATATGATATTAAATTAGCCTCTGTCGTGGTTTAGCCCCAGCCAGCGACTAAGCACCATGCAGCCGCTCACTCACTCCCCCTGCCCCGGTGG